TGTCATTAGCACCTCTAGTAATATATTTACTGAGAAAAATGGTGACGTATTCAATACTTATTTTACTCGCTGTATCTGAGAAATCGGATTCATATCAAAAGAAGTCAACAACAACCTTGAATATAAAGTTTATTTGAAGCTTTCAAAGTTTTCTCAGAAGATTTCTGGTTAATATTTGGATTGGAGCCACAGTCTGCTATTGTTGCTGCTTTAAGAACAAAATATTGAACAATATAACTGCCGTTTTCAGTTGCTTTCATGGCTTTGAGGAAACACAAGAATATAAGGTTTAATGGCAGAATTGTGTGCATTAAACGATCTAAACAGGTTTTTGCTGTGCAGTTATGTTAAAGCAGATTTCATCCAACAACACAAGAGTCAAAATGTTGACAAACCCGAGAACAATGAGCTGTAAACAACTTTACATGAACACAAAAGCACTTATTGTCCTGAGAAAATCCAAGTTGCAGCAACGGCTGAAAGAATTGTTCTCTTCCTGCAAAAAGACTCACTTTACTGCAGTTAAATCATGAAGGAAACTAGATGCTGCACAGCTGTAATATATATGAGCCCCGCATGTATGCAAAGCACCACGCATTGTTTTGGGTTGGGGTTGGGGGGCCCGATGATAGCCCCTCATCAGAACTAAACACCTAAAAAATCTGAAGCTTCTGTGTTGAAGAGTTTTTGAGTTATAAGTATTTTGTTTGTCCAGACACCTACTTTTCAGGTGGATCCCACTCCTCAAATATGGGGTCTATTGTTTTATTTTTATTTATTTTATTTTTTTGCTACTTCAGTAGAAAGCAGTACTGAATACCTGAATATTAGTATCTTAGCTTCTCCATCATCAGTGGCTTTTTTTTATAGATAGACAAGAAAGAAGAAAGAGGGAAAAAAGAAGGAAAGGAAAGAAAAGTTACAATGTAATGGAAAAAAGTGAAAGAAAGAATTGATGATATGTGAGATAAATGTCAAGAAAACAATACAATATCAACATCTGTCTGCACACCTGCAAAGAATTAAGGTAACTAAACTTAGCAAAAGCATACATATATACATTTAGACAGATAAAAAAAACAGGAGGACATCAGTTTAGCTTGATTGTCGCGCTAACACCGTGCTAATACATATAAGTGTCGCCGCTAACGCTAAAGCTAACAGGCTAATCTGAGGTTGTTCTTCCATGAAGCAGCTCTGTTGTCCTCCATCCATATTTTCAGTTCCAGGCTGAGTCATTTCTACCTTCTCCTCTCTGTCAACGCTCTCTGGTTTCATTTAAAAGAGTCGATCATCAGATCAAAAAGAAAAAAATAGTACAGGTCCTCTGGACGGGTTCTTCTCTAACGAAACGTTTCGT